ATTTTTCTCACCTGCCTAAAACCTTTGCATAGTACTGTATCTGCAGATGTTCTTTTTAAATACAGGACATTTTTTCATGATCCAGTGCAGATCTGCAATATTGTCAAGGGTGTCTTGACCTCGATGGATGCCAACATCTGGTAATTCCCTTTCTATGACCAGTTAAGGAGAATCTTGCATAACATGGTGCTTTAACCCTCCCCTAATCTGTCCAAAACTAACCTTTATTGGAATTTTGACACCTTCTACAGCAGTGGTTCTCAACCTGGGGGTCGAATGACAATTTGCCAGGGGTCGCCGGGAGTCTCCCGCTATTAGATAGCAGCTCCCGGCCACCCGGGAGAGAAACACTTTCTCCTGGAAAGGTTTAATCTGTTCGATCGAGCAGAGTAAACCTTTCGCTGCAAACGTTTTTTTTTTATTTCTGACATCGGAGCCCCGGCCGCCGTAAGTCAGAAAAAAATAAATCAGCATTGGAATGCATAGCTACATTCCTATTGGCTATTTCACTTTGCAATAGCAAACTAGCTATTGCACCCGCCCACTGCTGCTGTCAATCAGCAGAGGGGGACCTGCAGTTCTCCATCAGGTCCCCATCTAGTGATTATCATCATCATCATTATTATTAATAATAAAAGCTGACACCCTCAGCTTGTGTTATATGGTTTGCCATTTTAGCTGTTACAACAGTGGTTCTCAACCTGTGGGACGCTGTGTGATTTCTGCTGTGCTCGGTGAGAGTCCTCAGCCCTCTCCTAGCGCAACAGTGTCAATTCTCCTGCCATGCCGCCAGATGTCGCTGCAGCAGCTGCTTCAACCCTAAATGTTACCGTTGGGGGTCACCACAACTTGGCAAATGTTACCAAGGGGTCCCGGCCCTAGAAAGGTTGAGAACCACTGTTCTACAGAGAACTGGTCTGCATTGTCTGTTATCTTTGATAAGAGATGTATCTACAGGTGATGCTGCATGTACATAACATATAGCACCTTGGGCTGACAGTGTTAAGTCTTGTAAAGTAGACATATTGTATACAAATATCATTTTGTTGGTTATTACCAACAGTCGGTAATCTTGTCAGTCTAGGGACTCTAGTAGTTGTGTTAATGAGCATTAGAAGTACAGAGATCAATAACATATATGCAGCATCTAATTGCTACAAATAAGAGTATAGTTCCCTAATTAGAGGGATCATAGCCATAGAAGTTTACTTCTGAATGGTTGGAAAGTGTGACATATTTAAAACATTATCTGAATGCTGGTAATTGCATTCGATTCCAAGATCGATGTTCATTTAATACAAGTGATCTGAGATAACCGAGTGGCTGCTACTCTGATCTACATTTTAGCTCTGCTAGCCCGCAGCAGGGCTAAATGTAGAATAAAACTTCCCACTTGGAGCCCAGAACTGCATGTCTCAGGCGTAGGGCGATACAAATTCCACATCTCTGCTTCCCTGAAGACATGAATCTTTAGTAATCGACTTGAGGCAGTAAGAGTAGGAGATGGATGGAAAGGTTGGGGTAAGGAGTTCCAAAGAATCAGACTCTAGAGAAGTCCTGGAGGCAAGCATGGGAGGAGCTGACGAGGGAGCTAGAGAGCAAGAGGTCTTGGGATGTGCTGGATCTTCTATATTGGAAAGGCTCATAAAGAGAACCTGTTGCCTCCAAATGCTATCACATAAGAGCTTGTTCGCCCCTGTGTGATAGAAATAGACTTAAGTGGGGGGGATGAAAAAGTAAAAAATTGAAAAAAAGATTAAGTATAAAATAGCCCTGCCATCTGCATAAACGCACGCATAAGGCATTGTGTGTGTTTTTACGTGCATGCGCTTAGTGCTGCCCCCATTCCACTGTGTGACATATTGTGGTAGCTGGGCAGCAGTGCTCTTTAACAGGCACCATGTGCATTAAAAGGCAAGATCACTTTCCCAAGTAATTTGGGAACATGGATTTACCAGCTCAAATCTGGCCCCATCTCCCCCTCCGCTGGTGAAAGGTCTTTCCCCTCTGCTGCTACGGGTGTACTATCTGTACCCCATACTGCCGTCTTGCACTGTGGATTTTGCATTTAGCTCGCAAATTGCGAGCCCTCGTTGGTCAGCGCAGTGACCTCACCTCGTTGACCAATGAGAAGCGCTTCTTCGCATGGTTAAAAACAGTTTAGGATAAGATTATTTTTTTGTATCGCGAGTAGGTGCACACCCTTGACCTTGCTGATTCTTAAATGGAATCAGTACGTATAACAGGTACATTGCTTTGTTCAACTCAGCAAGAAGTGCACTGTGGTTAAAAACTAGACGGGGTACTGTCTCCAAATCTCTGTAATGCACAATACCCTTCAACGGAGATCTTCTCTTGGGTAGCAAGTTGGAAAGGGTGCTAGATTGGTAAGCTGATTTGTAAAAGGGCTTCCGCAAAAAGAAAAAGCAGCAAGAGAATTCACACTTTTGAAAACCTCCGTTCAAAAATAGCGCTCATACTCGCCCAAATGCTCAGAGGGAGATTTCCTTTGGCCGGCAGTGTAGCAAGTCAACATGGAGCCGGCTTCCCGGTCAATCAGGAAGCTGGGCAACAGTTAATTACCTGCCTCCCAGCTTCCTGATTGGCCGAGAAGCCGGCTCCATGCTAATTGGGAGGGAAGCTGGCTTCCCGGCCAAACAGCATGGATCCGGACAATCGGAAAGCCGGGTGGCGGGTAATGACCCAGCTTCCTAAATGTTTGGGGAGCCGGCTCGATGCCGATTGGTCGGAAAGCAGGCTTCCCAGCCAATCGGCATGGAGCCGGCTTCCAGGGTAATGACACGCCACCCGGCTTCCTGATTGCCCGGTAAGCAGGCTCTGTGCTAATGGAAGTACCGGTATCGATACTCTGTTTCGGCGAGTACCGAAATATAAATATCTGTACTTGTACTGGATACCCAAAAAATTGTATCAAGGCATCCCTAGTATCTGCAATGTAATGCACTTCTTTTCAGTGTTACCTGTTCAGCAGAAAGTAATATTTTTGGTAATTTCTTATATACTTTTAGGTGATGTAAGTCTGGATAAGTGATATGTCATCAGATCTTACCGAATTTCTAGAGGTTGCTTTTGGTTTCATACCTAATGAAGAGTAAAATGAGATGTCAAAGTAAAATATGTATATTCAGTATATAGTACAGTTTATCTCTGCAATACTTGCAAATATCCCTATGTTTTATCCTTTAAAAATCTTGAATCCTGCAAGTATCGAAAAATAGATGTTAATCTGTCAGAAAAACAAATGCTGTTAACCCCATCGTAAAATTACGGGTGGGCGGCGGATCCTTTCCGCCGATGCTTGAGCGGGCAGAATCCCGACGGGCATGTGTTTACAGCCGTTATCGGCTGTTTCTTCCAAACGTTTGTCCGGCTCTACAGCTGGCCGATCGCTTGTATATTCCTATAGTGTGCTGCCCCCCCCCGCCACTGCCGGTTATCCCGGGCACCGCTGTGCCCCTTGTGGTGCCCGGCACAGAACACCGCCTCAGCGGCTGCTCTGCAGGAGAGATCACCATTTCCTCCACCGCTGATCTCTCCTCCTCTCTAAAGTCGGAAAGCAATGTGTATTACATCACTTCTGCCTTTAGCTGTCATTTCTCTGGCTAAGAGCCAGAGAAGAAGCTGATGAAGCAGATCTCTGCTTTTATCAGTTTCTTTGGGGGTCCCTAGTTGACATTAGGGGTCTCAGGAGCTTTTTTTGAGTCAGTGGTTACATTTTAGAACTCGCTGCCACAAGCAGTGGTATCAGCAGAGAGTATTGAATCATTCAAAAAGCATTTAGATAGCTTCCTCAGAGACCGTAACATACAGGGGCACAGGTACTCTTAAAAACTAGATCACACAGGGACGTGTGTATGCACAATCGCACACAAAGGATGAACTTGAGGGACCTGTGTCTTCAACCTCAAATACTATGTAATGAATGTTAAACAACATTAGCTATAGCTATGTGAATTGGTGCAGACAGATGAGAAGTATTGGGCGAGTAAAATGTACTATTCTCAATAGTTTGAGCCGACGTGTGACATTGCAGCTCTCACATGCTGGCTCTATAGCTTTAGAGCGGAGCAATCACAAACCTTGCTCAGCTCACAGCCTTCTTCCTGCAGATAGTGGTGACTGTTAGTCACTGCTCCCAGCAGGGATTCCCCACCCCGTTCCTGTCTGTCATCCCCCCCTCCAGCCCTCATGAGGGGGGGATGACAGACAGGAACGGGGTGGGCACAGCTGGCTCTGACTCTAGTGAGGCAGAGCCAGCTGTCATTTTAGGCAGCGAGATGGATCCTGACCATATTCTCTGGAACTTTTCCGGCTGCAGCGCCGCTCTGCGCTGTCAGCCTATAGCAGGCAATAGCCCACTATATGCTGACTTTGGGGTCACAGGAGTACATTAGTAAAATGTACTCTTCCCAATAGTTTAACCCAGCGCAAAGTATTGGGAAGAGTACTTTTTACTCTCCCAATACTTCTTTAACCCCTTCATGACTGAGCTAGTTTTCAGGTTCTGTTCATAAATGACTGACACATTTTTTACATTTTTGCTGTGTGATTCTTCCACAGCAGTAATATACTTTCTTACGAAATGTACACACACATATTATATATAGTTATCTGGCAGTTCACGTAGCTATAGCTAATGGTTTTAAACATGCACTTATTAGTAGGGATATACCGATATTAGTATCTGTGCCGATACCAAGTATTTGGGCGAGTACTCTCCCAAATGCTCCTGAGACCGGAAAATCCGGTATCAGGAAGCTTGGCGCCGAGCCATTACATGCTGCCCGGCTTCGTAATTGGTTGGCTCCATGCTTCCCGGCCAATTCATGCGCCCTCTGCTTCCCTGCCAATCACGGAGACGGGCTGCATGTATTGACTCGCTGGCCAGCTTCCTGATTGAGGGGGCATGGAGATGTTAAAAATTATGTACACAATTGTATAAGAGGTTAATTTGTTTTGTTTTTTTTGCTTTTTTATAGCTATGGACTCCACAGGACAGAGAGTCTCTGCTAAGCATTTTAGCACAATTGCTCTTGGACAAGGACTGCACATTGCTAATTGGACGCCAGCTTCGACCCTTGCTTTTGGATCTTTTGGAGAGAAATGCAGGATGTATAAAAGCAGGAAGTCAAGTCAATCATGACCTTCATGAGAGGTTGTGTGTTGCAATGAGCAAACTGGTTACCAATCATCCTGATGTCCTCCCGTGAGTATTCATTTTAGGAGTATTTATTGTGCTTTATTTTTGTTTAAATGAAGTGAATTTTTCTTTTTTGATTTGGCTTCCGGTGGATGGGTTACTGTAGGGTACTTTTTTCCCCATTCTTAAGCTGGCCATACACTTCACAACCTTTGCACGACTTTCGTCTCATACGAAGCTCATACGATCTGCCCATCTTAGACAGGCAGATCGTACTTGCGATCATCACAAGCCCGCCCCGATGACTGCAATGTTGAGCAAGCAGTGTGCGTTTGTGCACACCGGCCCGTGGTGCATTTGTCTTAGGGGGACGCCACAAACCGGCCGAAAATCTCAGGAGTTTCAGCTTGTTTTCCAACGTGCTCATAAGACAAAAGACTGCGACCGTACAGTAGAAACGGTCGCACGCCTTCCATACACCTGCCAGGTATCGTACGATCACGAGATTTCCCGCCATTATCGTACGATAATCGGCAGGTGTATGGCCACCTTTAGTCCTGCTCTGACTTATTTTGGTAGCCTATTTTCAATGTGCCCACACTGTGAGGAATTCTATAAACCTACAGAATACTCTCGGAGGACCTTAATTTGGGAAGGTGTTAGCATGATTTTTTTTTTTTTTTATACTACAGTTTACTAAAAAAGAAAAAAAAATATATTATAGCCTTGGAGCTTACTCTTTGAACAACAAGACTGCACATGTATCTTTTTTATTTTTATATCGTAACAGGTTGACAAATTTTCATATTTAGCCTGTTTGTAGCTTATCTAGTGACCCTTTAATATCGAACTGCAGTTAAAAACAAAAACCTATGTATCACCCCCTTAACTTCCTTATCAGAAAGACTAGAGGCAGAAGACCATGTAACTTAGTCTGCAAGCCCACAAAAAAACATCTTGTGTTCCTGGTTCTGGATATAAAGCATTATGGCTGTCCAAGGCTTGTGCGCCTTGGTAATTATAGATACATCAATTATCTGCAGCCAGGCTGGTGCATGTGTGAATTTTTAGAGGACTGGTGGAAGTGCCCTAGGCTGTAGACCTTGCCCAGCTGCAGCAGTAAAAAAAAAATTCATGGTCTTCATCTAAAGTCTGTAATCCTACTTAAAAATGTGATGAGGGGGCTTTGGGTTGGGAACATGTTGTTATTTGTAACTACAATTCTACCTTACTGATGTCCTGTGTCTGGTCTTTTAGTTCAAGTAGAATTAAACCTTAGATATATGCAAAAACATTTTAAAAAAAGTTACCAAGTAGGTAGTTGCTTACCTGTGTCTCCACCGCTCGCTGCTGTCTGAAAATCTGACGATTCTCGAGTGGCCGTGAAGGATCACAGGGCGGGCACATGCACAGTAGAGATCTTCAGCCAGGAGAAGAAGAGAGACAGTGCAAGTCAATGCATGCAGCCAGCAGCGTGCACACTGACTGACACCGTGGGACACAGAAGAAACAGCAGTCAGCGCTGGGTCAGAGTCTGGCATTTTTTTATCACGTTTCAGAGCTGAAATGCAATTAAAAACGCACTGATCAGCAGGTTTCCATTGAAATCTGTATGGAAAACGCGCTGATCAGCACGCAAGAAATAGCTCAGGGAGCAAGCGGTTTAGATTGCGCAGAGCCGCGCGATTGCATGAATGGTCGCCGTAGGAATGTATGAAATCATTCATGTCGTTTCGGTGCGGACAAATCCAGGCAACCGAACCGCCCTGGAGTGAACGGGGCCTTAAACATAGGGCTCTGCTAAATATTTACCTGTTTGTTTTTTTTGTAACATAGATACCTATACAAACCTTTTAACTTACCTCGGACTTTAACCTGTTTTTGTTTTTTTCATGATCAGATTTGCATTACAGTATTTTCAGACAGCTTTACCAGTATTCCAAAGACTCTTCCTGGAAAGCTGTGATGCCAGCACAGTCCGCTATGGCCGGCGACGGATGAAACTGCGTGACCTTATGGAAGCGGCTTACAGATTTCTGCAGCAGGATAAATTCTACTTTATAGAAATGTGGGACTGGAGCGTCTGTGTGCCTCTGCTAAAAAGCCATGACTTAGCTGTCCGATGGTATGTAGTTTTGTGATTTCTGGAACAGGCAGAAACTGCTTTGAAAAACATACAGTGGGGCAAAAAAGTATTTAGTCAGCCACCAATTGTGCAAGTTCTCCCACTTAAAACGATGAGAGAGGCCTAATACAGGCATGATAGGTCAGAGTAGGCAGATGGGAAAGATTGTCTTTAAAGAAGACATTGGTGGGTTGAATAGCTTGATAGCTTCCTTTTAACTCTAACTTCAGTGGCATGCATTTGTTGGAGTAGTTTGTATCTCCACACTAGAAACCCAGATCTTCTACCTTTTACTTTTTGGTGTGGTCTCCTGCAAGGAAGAGCTGCCAGCATTGGCACAGTTTGTCTTAAACTTCAGACTCTGCTGCTGTTCAATAAGGTTGGAGTCACAGCTGAGTCTTTGCACTGTGTAGATAGACGTGTTTTATCAAGGAAGTAAATGGCGAACTTTTGAAACTTGAAAAAGGAACCTAAAGCTCCTAATGCTTGCTGTACATTTAGCTGCTTGACATTCATCTATCAATACACATCTGAAGTACTTCTCTCAAAATAATATCTGCAAAGCTGTACTCTTTTTTTAATAAAAAAAGACTTTGATATTCAACAAAATTTACTGTTTGCAGCCTAGTTCAAGTGACCATAAACATACAAGAGAAGGTAGATAAACCCCTTCATGATAAAAGCCGCCGGGGGTCTGTTTAATTAGCCCCGATGCCAGTGACGTACACTGTACGTTGCTGGTCATGAAGGGGTTAATTGTAGTCAGTGGAGAGACTTGCTTGTTTTATAGACTAGCCACCACTACATATTTTGTGCTGCCATGCTTTATCAGGTAAGACAAGTCCTACAATAATCTCAGGCCATACATGCTTAGCTGCTTTGTTGTTTTCTGTATTTATTTTCTGGAATTCTAGCACCAGCAGGAGTGAAAAGCCAGTATTATGTATGACATATGTTTGTTTCAGGTACACTGCCCACTGCCTGGCTTTGGTTACTTCAATGTCTGATGACAACAGACAGACCTTTTTGAAGAAATTATTTGGTACAGATGAGTTAATGCATTTCAAACTTCAGTAAGTAGCTTTGTTCCTGTCACTGTGTTATGTGCATGCTTTGGAGAAAAAACACATGATAAATATGCTCTTTCTCTTTTTTTTCAGGTTGCTGGATGAGCTGCACAGTCAGAATATTGAACAAGGTCTTTTAGTGACCAACACAGAAAAGTCCTTGTGGTGTAAAAGCAAGAACCAGCAGTACACACAAGGTCAAATTTTATCCAGTGATCTCTGTTCACGAGTTGTGCCTGTTTGTGGAATAACACTTCCTAAAATTAATTTGAACGCAGAACAAGTAAGGATAGTTGCAATTTCCCCATGTATTGCTAAAAGTACTGTATACTATGGTGGTTCTTCCCAGGGGCATAGCTGAGGCTGCTTAAAAAATAAATAAATTGCTGGCCTCCTTAGAATTGCTAGTTTCCTGGCTATTATGCTGACTTAGCAGAGCTTAACTACTCTGAGGCACTGACCTAGGCCAGGTATGCAGGATGTGAATGTGTATATCGACTAGTAGGCTACAGTTTGGATCTCCTAACTCAATCCTTCTGCAAGCAATAAATGGCAGCACTACCTAACTTTGGATTGCCACTATTTGCAGTGTTGATCAGGCAATTAAAATGGTATACTGATTTATTAGTTTTTTTTAAATAAAACATAGTTTAATACGATTACTGTGCAGTGCTTATACTTTTAGATGGTTAGAAGCTCTCTCGCCTCTGATTTTAGATGTTGGGAGTACAAATAAGATTTTCATTAATCTACCTTGCTATCGAGAGAACAGTCAGTACATTTTGTAATACAGGACCGAAAGACTTGTGTAAATTGATCTTATGTAAAGGGATATTATGTTTTAGTAAGGCATACAGTTGATTTAATTCCCTTTTATATAGTATCATCACTGATTTATGTATACTGTTGTATTGTAGGAAATTCAAAACAGTCCAATGGTATTGGTGGAGTCAACTTGCCGCAGTCTTCAAAGTCTTGCTCAGGCAGTTTCCTATCGGAAGGCTGTGCTTCTGGAGGGACCCATAGGTTGTGGAAAAACTGCGTTGGTGGAGCATTTGGCCACTGTGACAGGACGTTTGAAACCACCTGACATATTCAAAGTTCAACTTGGAGATCAGACTGATAGTAAGGTAAGGTCATAATAGGCTAATGATAAAGTTGTGGTAGCTTCTAGAATGGCATGTGGTAAACATCAGACTGCGCTTTCTTGTGCAAGCTGCTCTTTTACTGTCCTCACAGCCTTATTTGCTGGTAGCCTGTTAAGACATTAATGATTTTGTTTCTCTTCTTAGATGTTGCTTGGAATGTATCGCTGCACAGACATCCCAGGAGAGTTTGTGTGGCAGCCAGGAACATTAACACAAGCTGTTGCTTATGGGCATTGGATTTTGCTTGAGGATATCGATTATGCACCTTTGGATGTGGTATGTTGTTAGAATATTTATACTGCTAAAATAAACCGTTTTTCTATTTATGCAAACAAGCAAGGATCTATAATGAACCTATTTCCACAACTCAAAATAATTTGAGTTCGTTTATTTGCGCTAACCTGAAGACAAAATGAATACAATAGTGTGTAAAAATATATTAACTAAAAATCAGTGCAGAATTATAATCAAAATATAACTGGTGACAAACGCAGAATATGGATCAGAAAATTTGAATAATATTGATAACACAGGTAATGTGAACTCCTTAGCCCAACCTGTCCGTCTATCTCCCACCTTGACTGCCTTTAGGCGTTCCCTAAAGACTCATCTCTTCAGGGAAGCCTATCCGACCTCAACCTAACCACTGAACCTTCACATTCTCACATAATTCATTCCCACAGCTACCACAGCTACCTCATGTATCATTTCCCCCTCCTCTTTTAGATTGTAAGCCCTCAGGGGCAGGGCCCTCCTTACCATCTTGTCTTGAATTGTATTGTAACTGTAATGTCTTCCTTATATTGTAAAGCGCTGCGTAAACTGTTGGCGCTATATAAATACTATGTAATAATAATAATAATAATGTGAAAATACAATCACAGGATATTATTCTAAAATATCAATCTAACAAAACTGAGTAACTTCTTGGATACAATTAGTAGCTTCTCAGTAGCTCAGAGAATGTGAAAACAATATGTGCAGATTTGACACGTGATTTCTCTCAGACAACAGATATTCTCAAGCTCCAATTCACCTACGCATGAACAAACTTGTTGTACCATACACAGAACTGGCTATAAGCCAAGACTATATTTAAGGTAAAGACAAATTTCCACTAAATTATTGACTAGAAAAAGAAATCAGCTTCCAGGAGATTATACAGATTTGTGTATTTCTCCCCAAGATTGAAAGATACAATTTATACTGCAGTTTAAAATGATCTCAATTCAATCTAGATGCTACGAGGACTAAATGGTCTAGTTAGATATAGATCTATATATCTATTTAGATCTATATAGAATCTATCTTGTCAATTGCCTACAGATAAATTGAAGTTGTACTTTACCAAAAATTGACAAATCTTTTGTCAGAGATGTCGGCTTTCTCTCAGTTCAGAAACAAGAGATGGTCATGTTCTCTTTAGTTCAGTTCCCTTGGTCAGCCGTCATCAGCTTCCGACCTCTACCATCAGAGACTATTTACCTCCCCCTCCTTTCTGTTTTTACTTCTTGTCTCTTTTTTTTTTTTTTTCCATCTCAATCTCCTGCTCCAAACTTTTAACCCCAAAGAATGTGGGCGTGGATTTGTCTGCCACATAATTAATGACGTCAGATTGGGCATCATTTTACTATGTACCTCTTCATCGCAATCACCTAAAAGGGGCACTATTGAACTGTATAAAAGTTTGGATTCTAAAATTAAATTCTAATATTTTCATAAAAGATAACCTCTGACCTAAGCCTTGGACAAAACCATAAATATAATAGGGTGGTCTATTCTATGGCAGCATCTGTCCGCCTTACTGCCTCTTCATAGATATACAGCTTTAAGAAAGTGTAACCACAGCAATTAAACATTTTCCTCCAAATACCTTGAGAGTAATTTGTACCAAGACACAGTGGTTCTCCACACATTAAAAGAAAAATACATTGGTAAGTCCCACCTAATTCTATGTACTTAAAACACAAACCCACCATATTAATAATACTAATATGTTTCAAGGAGTAAACCAAACAATATAGGGTGAATATTAAAGTACATAATAAAATATATACTGGAAATGATTCAATTAAGTAGGCATACAATATTAATAACATCATTGAAATTATGGCTAATATAATCTATTGCAATTAATAGTACTTATTAATAAGGCAACTTTTAAATGAGTCCCTTTTTCCGGTAATGAGAGAGAAATTTTTTTTTTTTAAACATTCCAGTCTCTTGTTCATTGTTTAAATTGAGACATGACAGTCATCAATCTCATTATAACACAGTCTGGCACCATGGCCAGTCCTTATCTTGTGTTTGTTGTCTAGGACCCCACAATTTACAACCTGGTAAGGTATGTGGTAAAACTCTTATTTTCTGTGAGAATCTTCAACCAGGAGGAATTAACTTGCATTCACCTCATGACAGACAGACAAAGATGGCTTCCATGATGCCCATATAAAAATGTCAATATGTATAGGCCTTTAATTTTATTCCTTTTAGCCCCAATGGTTCTGATAATGTAGTGTTCTCATTTGTAAAGCTGTTAGGGATGTAAATATCGAATGTTAAAATTAGATATGTTTCAAATAACATTAGGCAATGTAGTGCCACGCGCCTCCATAAATGTTCTCAAAAGCTTAAACTGAGGACCAAATGAATTGTTTGCAAGTGTTAAGGTCTTTTAAGCAGCCTGTCTTGCAATCTGTGCCATGCGTTGGGCTTTGAGTTTGCCACATCATCGGTAAACAAGCAAGCCTAGGACTGAATTGCATTTTCAAGCTTCTTTAATATGTTAGTGTAGATCACCACAATTATTTAACAAAGTAGATTTTGGTTCTCTAACATATCATTTGTTGTGTTTTTTGACGAACACTGGAAGTCTTTAACCTTCAGGTTTTTCTGCAACCAACAGGATTTTCTGACTCTGGCAAACAAAACTGTAAGCCAGGCCAGGGTTTAACCCCTTCTGCTATCAGCATGCCTGCTTGTTAGTGTCCTAGGAAGATTTTTGCCTTTTTAACTTCTGTTTTTTTTTACATTTTTCTGCAATTGATTTTCACTAATCTTTAGCGGCTTATGAGCCAGCGTCCGAAGAGACTCTTATTCTAACTCGCTCAGATCCTTGTCTGAGGTTACTCTGGGGAGTCGTAGTTTACTGCAATTACTTCCAAAGTTCAATGAGACTATTTCCTTATTGATGATGTGCTTACCACTGTGAAGCTAGAGGATCAGCCTTTTACTTCTACAAGTGCCGTTTCCAGCCTTGGGTCATTTAGGACTTTACTTTTACTCCTGCTTTTCTAACTTTTCCTCTATTGAGATTGAAAGCACCCTGACAAGTTGTTATTTTCTCCTAAGTGCTTACTGGTTTTGTGAGGAGTTCCTTTAGGAGTAGTCCGTTCCCACTATAGATCCAGCTGTCTCGCTTTAACAAGGCAACTTCCATACCAGTGCAGGGTGCCCTTGCTTTTAACGGCCGCAACTGTTAGCTCTATTGCTGGCGGGTCCCCCTCCGCACATTATTCTGGCTGTGATGTCACTGTCATGCCACATCCGACTGGTCAAGATCCCTAACCACTGTGGCGTGTGTTCCCTTGTAAGACGTGTGGAGCAGATGGCTGTTGCATATAATTTCAGCCATGACTGTTAACTGGGAGACTCCTGTGTTTTTTTTTGTTTTTTTTTCTCATGTGTCTCCTGTTTTTGCATGGGGTGCTTTGACTAAAGTGCTGGACTGCTTAACAGTCTTGCAAGAAAAGTTTGCCCTTCAAGAAGCATCCATTTTGTTTCTACAATTCCTCGACTTCAACGTCAAAGCCTTATAAGCTTGGCTTCGTCAACTCGCAGTCTGGCATTTAAAATTTGCCAAATCCTCAGACAAGCTTTCCTTCTCATGATGGTGACCCCCACTTCCCAGACTGGGGAGACGTGTCATGTGTCGACTTTGCAGATAATTGGACAGGTTGCATTCCACATGCCTGTATGCAGGAAGTAGTGTCCCAGGCCTACAAAGTCTAGTTTCAATCCCTGCCCCCATGTTCCATTTCTTAAATTCAACCTTTCTATGTCCCCAGTTACACTAGCAGATTTCCATTGGGTTTTCTAGGGACTTATAAATCAAGGTGTCATTGCCACAGTCCCTGTTGGTGCAGGATTCTTAGTTGTCAGACTTTTTTTTTTTCTCCCAATAAACATTTTGGAGCTTAAGCTTTGGACCATCCGATCCTTATTCCCATTATTGGACCATCCGATCCATGATGGAGGTGTACATTAATTTTCAGGGAGGAACCAGAAGTCGGAATAGGGAGATTGTTACAATAAGAGTGTCATTGGTGGGGAGAGTCAGGTGTGGACCTCCTAAGTCTGTAATTCTTACGATCCTCGAGCCTAGGAAGGCCATTTGAAACCAGGTCCCTCATCAGATGTGGTTCTTTGAGCTTTAAAAGCTGCCATTGGAGACCTTCCATTTTCTTTTCTCACCTACAAAGAGGTTTCCCTTTTTGCTATCGCCTCTGTAGGGCAAGTAAAAAACACAAAAGAAGAGGCGCCTTTCCTGGTGCAATAATTTCTGTAGGGCAAGTGTATGAACTGGTGTCCCTTTTTGGTCTTTCATAGGGAGACGGTCGTGTTGAGGCCCATGACTACTTCTTACCTAAGCTAGTCTCTTTCACCTCAACCGGGAAAGTTCCCTATGTCCAGCTTTGGTTCTACAAAAGGAAATTTCCCTCCATTGTCTGGATGTGGTTCGGGCTATGTATTTATTTTTCTCTCAGCTACTGCTTCTTTCAGGTGTGCAGTAGTGGCAGGGTGCTACCCTGAGCGGTGTACGGCACCCCCTCTTGGGTTGCAAGGAGGGGGTAGGCTCTAGCAGTGGGTGTAGTGTGAGACACTTACCAGTTGGAGCACTGTGGTCGCTGTCCATGGGCCATGGTTCCGTCCGGTGAACCGCATGGTGGCTTGCGCGGGAGAGTGGCGGCGTCTACAGGCAGCTCCGAAGTTGTAATGGGTCTCAGCACCAGCTGGGAGCGCTGTTGCGCCGCCGGAACGCGAAGCTAGGCGCGTCATCGAGTACCGAGTGGTGCGGTGACGCGCTTCCGGTGCGCCATTTCCGGTTTCCGGAACGCAGCGTGCGCTGGCCAGTTTAAAGGCACATGGGGACGGAGACAGTCGGCATGTGAGGCAGCTGATTCACCTCCCATAACGAATGCTGCTCGGCCACGACTACTGAGGCTGCACACCTCGCGGACTGACTGGGACCACATACGGTCAGTGGGGACATCAGG